GTGTCCTCGCTTCTGTTCTTGGAGTGCTTTATGCAACTTGCTCTAGCCTTGAATCGGCAGGAAAAACAAGATTTCCTGGTGGGGGGGGTTGAGAAGAAGTTCATTTTCCTCATCCTGTTCCAAACACAAGCCTTTTCTTTTTTCTTGTCCATTTTCTTTTTTTTTTTTTAAACCACAGCAGCAGGCCCATGTTTGTCTCCTTGTCACAGCTGTGCTCAGCAGAGAGGGTTGACCTTGGGGACAATGACACCACACAAAGCAGCTAGCCGGGCTGTGACCAGAACCACTGCGAGCACCCCTTGTCAACACTGAATGGCGGTTAGTTTTACAGCTCGCTGACTCATTCAGGCCTACGACAGTCATTAAGCCAAATATGTTGCTAAACATACTTATTCCTGCAGGAATTGGAGTGGACTATCCAAAATGGGCTGGAAGTGCGATAATAATGCAGCTATAGAAAAGAAAAGTGAGTAAAGTCGTAAAATATTGAATGTGATTGAATATTGAAAAGGTGTGGTTTGGATAGAGGATGTTTGGGGACAGTGAGGCTGCCAAAGCGGAACACGGAGGAAGGACAGAGCAGAGATCTGCTGGTGACCTTAGCACGCAAACCACTGCACTTCTATTGTCCAGCAAACTTCATACAGATAAAGAGCCACGTACATACAAATCAAACTGGCAGTGAGTAAAATCTGTCCGTGATTTAAAAAGTAAAAACGTCACTAAACTCATCCTCTCCTTTGAATAAGGACATTAAACTCCAGATTGGGGAAATCTGGTACTTTCAGAATCAGCCTAAAAAAGGAGCCAATCTCAAACAGGCAAGTTTTGTTTGGAGCGCTGTTGCCGTGGAGACAAAAAACAGATCCAAACATAGGGTTAGAGGTTGCCCTCTTATGGAATGTTTACCAAAGTCTGGATGAGAGCAGGTATGGAGCAGCGTCTTACCTGTCGCCATATGGATGACATGTTAATCACTCCTGTGCTAAATTTAACAGACAGCAACGGTCTGGGCCGTGTTCAGGGGCTTAAGTCTTTAGGGGGTTCAGAGTAAGTCATGCCTGTGGGAATGCTCTGCACTGAGGCTGACTGATATGTTGTTTCCGACTGTAACATTCAGAGGAAGGTGGTCAGGGGTCAGCAGCCTCCACCCACCTCTGCAGCTTGGCACATCCTCTGTAGCCGCAGGGATGATAAAAATAGAACCGAATAACAAATGGCTCTCACTCCACGCATAACTTAAGTTCGTCACTGTATATAGATTCCCTTTTAACAACAGCGCTGATTATAACAAAATGACTTCAGATAGGAAACACCAGAGTAGGAAATGTTTCTTTGAGAGAATACAATCAGAGCTGAAGCTATTCCTCGGATAAGTCGATTAAAAAATATATTTAGTTTGAATGAATCTATTCAGTAAAATAGCCATCTTTGGCCTCAGATCTGAATTTGTTTCTCTTCCTATGCTCTTCTCTACATGTATGAAAGCTAACTGTTAGATGTTAGATTCTTATTTGGACAAAAGTAGATATTTAACACATTTTATAAAAACATTTTTGCATGCCAATTGATAGGAATAATGATCATAGGTTGACGTTAAAAATAGAGTTATCCAACAAATAAGTGATGCTCTGCAGTCTTAAAAAACAAAAACAAATAAAGCCACCTGTTGCAACACAACAATGCAAACCGAATAACATTACATGACACCTGCTCCACTAAGGAAGGGATATAAACCTGCCAACAAAAACACACTGGGTAAAGAATAGCTTATACACTATGAGAAAGAAGCACCTGCTGTGGCACAACATCCGCGGCATTTTAGCCCCACAATCGATGCAAGAACAGCCACCTGCTGAAGGCTAACAATAGCCACCAGCTAAGCTATTCACTTGAACCCGATGCCTTATCCACAACTGTGACAGAGCGATGCTGTATATGCTGAGTGAATGTCAACTCATCACCGGCGAACACAGACACATACCAGCACTTCACATTTATCATTGTTACATAAAGGACAGAACAGCATGAGTGTGTACAAGGTACAATCACACCAAAGTGATACACTGAGTGCAGGGAGGTGTCAGTGGGGACAGGAACAACACAAACACCAGGTACCTCTTGCATAATCCAGCATAAGATGGAAGGAATGCGAGTGCATGATGGTAAACACTCCATGATCCGCACCTCTTCAAACCTTACCCCCATCAAAATATGCTGAGATAAACACACATACTATTTCTCTGCTCTACAACGATCCACAAGACATGAGGGATGAGACAGGAATATGTGTTTCCCCCTGAATTTGCTAAATGTACAAAAAGTTTTACTTTCTTAAAAAAAAGATTGTCTTAAAAATTCTTCAGGTATTTTTGGGGTAAAATCTAAATAAAGTCAGAGACCTTAAGTGCCCTGATCCCACACTCCTACAGCTACACTATGCGGCGCTCTAACTTCTTTCCAGATTGTCAAGTTTTATCCTCCTGCTGACCTCATCATGGAATAATCGATCTTTACTTTATATTTGAATAGAATAATAGAATAGAATAGAATTACTTTATTGATCCCAAACTGGGAAATTGTCGCGTTACAGCAGCAGGTTGTCCAAACACACAATATGAGCAAAAAACACAATGTTAGCAAATTTAAACACAATATAATATTAAATACAAAGTAAATAAGCACTAAAAATATCAAAACTAAGAATGGGAATATATACAACCAGGATTTAACTTAGCATTACTCGTCTTAAATATGAAAGATTAAATGTAAATGTGCAAAAACAACCAAGGTTGTGACGTAAAATCACCCACATAGTACGTATACTCCTTTTCTCACCTGCTTGACCCCTTTGTGTAAATCACAGGAGTGTTTACAGTAGCTATTTCTATGTTGTGTTTTCTTTAACACAGTTTGCACTCATCATTCACCTTCCTAAAAATATATATATGTTGTTTGCTGGGTTAACTAGTGAATACCTTCTTTATTGGTTTAATGTCAGGACTTGTTCAAGGCAACACATGAAAGAGCATTTAAGCACAGAGTCTGTTATGCGTCTTACTTTAGAAGAGTCCCTGTCATCAATAAATCAGGTATATGGTAAACATTTTTTTTCAGTGTATGATCTGATTGTGTTGATGTGGCTATTTAATATGAGATGAATAACATACAAGGGAGTGTTCTGACTGAATATATTCCAAAAGACCAATATATTGGGATATATTTCTGAAGCTTGTAACATCCAGGATTATTCAACACCAAGTCAGAAAAAAGTATTGGATTAAACACGATCAAAAATGTTTGAGGCTTGAGGTTTGTGGTGTTGTTTATTATTAACAGATTTGGAAAGTCATTCACCTGATAATCTAAAGAGACTGTCAAGGATACAGCTTCATAGTTGATACTAGAAGAAAGGATTGTGATTACTCCCTATGACAACAAGAACTTTATTTGCAATTACAAGTGAGTAATATTGTTAATAAAGTTCCAAATGTTCATCATTTTTTAGTGCTTGAATGCTGTATTATGCTATTCATGACTCGTAAAACACAACTGTGATTTCTGACTGAATGAAAGCTCTAAGCTCAGCCCTGTTCTTCCTCACATCTGCTCTGTGTTTACATCATTTGAAGGATTTGTATTGTCTAGCTAAAAAGATTAAGGGGGCGTCACGACTCTGTGTGTCTGAAAGGACCCATCAGTCCCCTACTACTATTACCCAGTGAGCATCCCCTTCATGAAGTCATCATCTCTCTGGCCTCAATCAATCACTCTGCGGGGCCTCCACTGTAAAAAGCCTCCTATTAGGCGCAGTGAAAGCTCTGTTTACCCAAGCTTAGTGAGTTACCTTGGGTTACTGCAAGAATGGAGGTTGTGGAAACAGTTGGCCACAAACATAATGCTCGGCACGTCGCCTCTATATACCACTACGTTAATTATTACACAAGAGTGACATATTGGCAGCTTTTAAGATGGTGAAGACTTGTGACGTGCATCAAGACAAGGCAATATCTACAAAGAATTCTGAGAGATAATTCAGGAATGTGAGACTTTTTTTTAAAATCTAGGATTCAGGCTTTTCTTCTGGTTGCAGTGTTTCTAACTTGGTAAAGTGATCTTCAGGTATAGAAACTTGCTTTTCAATCATTTTTCATGAGATAAAGAGTACGTTCAAATAGTTTTTAAAACACATGTTACTTGTTAGAGTAGCTCAGTCTGCTGGACAAAAGCCACGTTCACTTTGACCTCATTCTGACGGCGATAGCTAAGCAAGGCTGACAAAGTCATTAAGTGAGCAAGCAAAGGAGTCTGAAGACGCATGTCTCACTTGAAGCGTGTCCCCCCCCCCCCTTACTCACCCCTGCCCTGGCTTTTCACCCTTATACCCCCCTTCTGACCCCTTTTGTTGGGGAGAAGGGGTCTGAATCTTTGGACTCAGCTAATTATAGAGTTTTAACGTCTGCTTGACTAAGCCCTAAGTGCTGGAGGACATTCCTACATTTGGGAGATTCACTACAAGTGTGTGTGTTTGTGTGTGTGTGTGTGTGTGTGTGTGTGTATGTGTGTGTGTGTGCACTTTCTACAACATGGTCCCAAGAGAAAAAGAGCTTGTTTTATTGGAAACGTGAGCCATTTAAACAGCAAATGTTCAATTAAAAAATCTCAATACATTGAAACTGAATTAAAAAAAAAGGGAAACCAGACACTATTATAAAACTGCAGCAACTATACGTACACATAATGTTTCTAGGTCTTAGAATCATCAATATTGATTGAGAGGTTATGAAAGTTGATAATTTCTGTAATCTCTCTGAATCTTACTTTGTTATATTTTCATAAACTAAAATGATTTTAAGGTTAACATTCCCTATTGGAGACCCAAAGCCCTTCCAATTTCAAATCTTTCCAAAAATACAAACTTGACCTCCAAGATTTAGATTTAGAGGACTTGCCGACTGTGCTATGATATATATATGTGTAGATTAGAGCTCGTGACTTACCCCACTCTTAGGTTTTGCTCCGAGGGCTGTTGTGGGTCCTGAGCTGGAGGCAGCACCAGCGTGCGGATGTGGTGGGTTTTGTGATTCTGCTGGTAAAGATCTTTCATCAAACTCCTGTAAAAGGCAAAGTCACAAAATTGTAAAAGTCATTGTTAATTGATGATCAAGAGAATGTTTGAATCAATGGAAAGCACACTACAAAGTTCATAACCACTGGAATGATGCCCAGTGTCTATAGGCATTGTTATGCCTAATATGGCCACTAGATGGAACGATATGATTAAGATGAAGATGAGGATGGAAAGGAAAGAAAAAACAAAATAAATGTAATTTGTTAAATAACTTTTGTTTTCTTTGTTTTGAATGCTGAATCCAACAGTAACAGCAAGCGTGTACCTGGCGTTGTCGTCGATGGAGGGTCGGGGTGCTGTCCATAGAGGAGGTGGCACTGAGGGCATTGTCTATTTCCTGGTCCAACTGGTCCAGCTTCATCAGCAGCAACACCATCGAATCGAGGCGAGCATGCTCTCGCTGAATAAAGACACCAATCAGAGGAAAACAGGATTATCACTGAACTGACCAAAACGTTTTACATTTACATTTGTAAACAACTGTGCCACAGGAGGTCATCCAGGTTCGATCCCCAGTGTCCTCGAGCAAGACACTGAAGGTGTTGAGAGGTGGAATAGTACCATAGACATGTAGCCAGTTTTCCATTAGCCTCACTAATAGATATTTGACGACTGGGATGATATCATGTAAGGCTGGAACCAAAGAAGATTTGTATTGAGATGTTCCTCACATCCAGGTAGACAGGTTTCCAATCTACTTAAGTGTAATACTGGGATAGCTTACTCTAAACTTTAGTTCATGTTTGCGTTCATCATACTTCAACATATGACAATAAAACTTTGATACTGACATTCTTTGTGTTTTCAGTTGAATGGTGCACTTATCCATCCACTGATGAACTTGATGAACAGTGATTTCAGACTATAACTTTCGATATACATTTTGTTAAGTAAAATCTGGAGTAGCAGCATGCCTAAATGATTTTTATCACATCTATCAGTTTGCTAACTGAACCACTTAGCTGGCTATTATGGGTTAAGATACAGACTTGTTTAGTTGGAAGAACTATAATGAGCTCGTTGTGGCTTTATTGTAGAGCCAGGGGCAACTTCTGGTGTTCAAAGGATGAGGTAATTCTTTATTGCTCCCCAGAGGGGAAATTCAAGAGTTGCAGTGGAGGACACAAAAAAGCAAATAAATAAAAAGTATATACAACTGGTTACTATAGGAAGCCAATGCCAAATAATTCCATTAAGGTCCCATATTAAAATCACCATTTTTAAACCAAAAACAAATATGATTTCAGTTTGGCTTGTAAAAACAAAAACAAAAAAAAACAACAATTTGGTAGCTCATTCCCTTATTGGCCCGCCTCAGCTTTACTTCTTTACCGGCTCTAGATTGAGCAATAGTTAGCTTTAGACAGCATTTCCAGAAGGCAACAACCATCTTTTAGCTTCATAGGGCCTCTTCAGAAACCAAAGTGTGACATCACTGAGACTACGTCCTGTGTTGCACACTTAAACAAATCAGTTTTAAAATGACAGTGCCATTTAGTGTCTATTTAAGTTGTACTTCTTATTTGTTACTTTGCTCCTTGTCCAGGTAATTTTGCCTCTTATAATTGAAGGGCTCTCTTTTGTACAGTAAAATCATTCTTCTTTCCCTGCTGCTTACTTCCTTTCCCTCTTCCTTTTAAACTCGGGCTGATAACTCTTATCCTGACACTTTCACCCTCTGCTCTTCTGTATCCTTTCTACAGTTAAAATAGTCACAACTGTTTCCTCTCTTTTTTTCCACACACCCTGTGCATTTCATGTCTTTTTTTCATTGACACTGTACCTTTTTTTTTTTTTTACTTTTATTACTTCAAGACAATATATTCTTCTCAGTCCTCTAATCTGCAGAGCTCAATTATCCACTGTGATGCTATGATAACAAGTCTCATACTGACCTCAGGTGGTGTGTCTCCAGTAAGACAAGCTAAATGACATACAATCCAGCCGGCTCAAAACTCCACCAACCACTCTGTCCTTGTTTGCCATCCCTCAGTCCTGTTGTTAAACGCAACATAAACCTCCATCTGAAGTTTATTGTAAAATCCCTTTCTGGTGTTCTTTACATGGTGCATGTTTTCATTTCCTCCTTCCTTTCTTTCGTCCAAGCTCTGGGCGTGGCTCTCTGTCTGAGCAGCTCCCCTGAGACGAACCCCAAGAAATTACATCACACAGCTTGTTCATTAGTGCCAAACAAACCTTGTTACAATTTCCCTAACGGGCCCCGTTAAACACTTTATAGGGGTGATATCATGGGACGAACAGTAATCGTACATTTGTGAAAACATGTGCTCTGTCCTGTCTTTGGTGTGATGCATAAAGTGATGTGGGATAAATTAGACACTTAAGACAAATCATTAACATATCTGGTGAAGTGGCTAATGTGGCTTCACCCTCTATTAGTTTACTTTACAATGGGTGTGCTGCGTTAACGTGATTTTTTATAAGCTGACTGATGCTAATGTGTGTCAGTTTGACAGGTTTACGGATCCCAGATAGGATCTACATCACGATTAACAAGCTACAGCTCCAACCCTGGCCCCTGGCTCGTAGCTACATCCCCTAATAACATCTTATGACTGGAGAGCTTACATTTATTTTCCAGTTAGGGCCCAATTAGCCTGTCCAAAGCAGTTCCTATTGGGTTTGCTGAGAGAGCACATAAGACACAGAGGGCCATGTGTGTCATGGAAATGTGTCTCTCATTGATGCATTCATTGGCATTCCTAGCCGGTAGAAGAGCAGATCGCTACGTTCTGTCTGCTTGGAAAAGTATCACAATGAAACATTGTACGGTGGTAAAACAATGACATCTTTACGAGGCATCGCTGAATGAACAAAAGCATCTGGCTCGGGATGGCAACAACAACCACAAAACAGAAGAGTCAAAAAACAAGTGCACATGATGTCAGGCGCCTCAGCGAGGCAACGTGCTTTAAAGGGGCATTCTGGTGGTTTGGGTGCTCTCAGAAGGTTTCTTTTTCTTTCTCTCCCATCTTTTGAGGTTTCTGTTACATTCCTCTCCACTTCCTGTTTTTATAGATGGGAGACAGTTCCCACACTGTTTGAACTCTGAGACCCTTCCTTTCCCATTCCTAGCTTTCTTTTTCAAACCCCCTCTTACACCCTGTGCCCTGCATCCCATTTCTCAGACCTGTCAGTGTCCTTTCCTGTGAGGCAACAACAGTGAGCAGATGATTACATATCAGAATTCTCTGCACATAATGTTTACTGTGGGTATGTTATTGGTTTAACCAAAAGACAGGCATTGAATTTTTATATGAGGCAAAAAAAAATGGTGCACTGAGACTGAGACTGAGATGATGTTGCCAGGTCGTCTGCAGTCAGATAAACAACAATTGAGCCAATGTGGCCCTCTGGTCAGGACACGACCTTGTTTCTAAAACAAATAAACACACTAACAAAGCCCAATATCAGGCTAATCTGAAGAAATTATGCAAACCAGATGGGTTCATTTTACAAACTCAACCTGCAACAACAGCTTGAGTCACAGAGGGTATCTTGTCAGAGATAATTCCACGCTGTTGTGTCCATCATTTGTATAGAAAAAAAACAACAGTTATTTTCCTTACAATAATCAGGAGCTTCTTCTCTTTCCTTTAACTACAGCATGTTACCTCCCTTGGGGGTTTTATTGTAAAGTTGCACTGCCTGACCTTCTGTCAAGCACATTTTCTTGGTAAACTGCCTTCATACAGTATGTACACCACAGGGTAAGAACCACATGGTGCAGTCAAAGAGGAGGCGAGCCAACGCCATATGGTGCATGGATTGCCTTGGGGCCTCCACTTTTATGGCTGAACTGTTTTTTGTTTTTTTTCCAGGAGCCAGTTTTTTCGGATACTTAATCCATTAGTTTAAAGTCATCCAAAAAGTGAAACTGGAGCCAGTGTTAATAAATGCAGCACTTGTTTTCCATGTCCCTACTCTGGTCTGTGTTGTTGTCTAAGTTTTGGCAGCTGAAAGAGTGACATCAACTTTGGTCATGATAAACAGGGCCACAAAAGAGTCAAGGTTGCAATCACAGATTACTGTTTTATTAATGCTGTGAGGAAAACTAAAATCTGTAGAATTACACAACAACACACATTATAATAACCTAAAAGACGGTAGGGCTTAAAGCAGAAAGGTTTCATTAGCATGCATTGGTGTATTTTAGGGAAGTGACCAGTAACTTATTGTCAATTAGAGCAAGTTAAAAGCAGTATAAGTGAATAAGATCAAATTATATAATAAACCTGGCATTATATACAAATCAAACCCTCTATGTCCCACATTCAGACCACCAAGCCACTGCTGAGCTGACATGTTGGATAGTAGAGTTAACTGATAAAAAAGCGGGAAATGATAAGTTAAGTTAACAGTAGTTGATAATCTTGTTCATTCCTGCTGAGTGCTTACAGAACTAATCATAGATATTAACAGCGCATATCTGAAATGTTTACTGCTCTTTTATCATGATATAATTTCCTTTAATCATAGTTCTTTTGTTTAATAAATGCTTTAAAGAAATGCCACATATACACTTATTCAACCACAATAAGCACATGATAATGTTGATACATCTGCTGCTGCTTTACTAAACTATTAGAGTTACTTTTAAGGAGGCCTGGTCTTTTTCAAGACGTATGCTTCACAAGAATTTAACCTTCCACAATAATGTACTTGTCTAAACAACATTCTTGATTCGTGCATTCATGCCTTCTTGATAGGGCCTGTGTGTGTAAATAATGGATTTCTTGTTTTCATTCCTAAGAGGCAAATGGCAACTTGTAAAAGTGAATTAATTCTGTGTCAGTTCTCAGGCCTTTTCTTGTTTCATGGAGTCAAACATATGAACTGTTTTTATGCAGTTATTGCACTTTGCTCTTTATACCTAAACAGCACAGACCAGAAGGGCTTCTGCTACAGTATTTGCTGGAGAGCTAGTCTTTCACCCCAGAGATTACTTGAGCCTCCAAGCCCCTCTGTGTTCATAGTCTCCATGCCCTTATAGGACCTTGTTTTGCAATGAGCAGTTGAGAAAGAGTAAAACATTTCACAGATCCCCCCACTCACACAACTGCAAGCATGTGAGAGTGAAGTCATTGTTTTCCTACGTGCTTGCCAGAGTGTGGGACAAAAATGATTTGTTGGCCCAATATGCCCAGTCAGTTCAGAAGAAAATAACTTAATTTCAAGTTTCTGAGGTGCACGAGTCGTGTGTTCTCAACACAAACGGAAGGACAAAGACAGAAAGTATTGTAGCCTTCGTCAATCATGATCTTCCACAACTATATTATATGCATCCTTACCTTTCTCATGCGCACTTTGACCACGTTGTCATCCCTCTGATCACCAGGTTCATTTGTTGCTTCTAAAACCGGACTGGAAAGTTGTGTGTTACTGTTAATAACAGCTTTTGCCTCATCATCTGTCTCCTCCATTCTAGACCCAGTAGTTCCCATCCTGTGGTGTTCTCCTTGACCATCTGCCACCTTGGAGGCAGGTGACTCACCAAGGCAACACCCACAGTCCTCTAGGTTGCTATGGAGTTCCTCTGGTGAGAGCTCATCGTTGACCTCTGCAGTGCATGGAAGCAGGTTCTCTAGGTGCTGTTCAGCGGCTGCATGTTTATTGCTCACACAGAGGTGCTGAACATCTGGACTTTGGGTGAAACATGAGATCTTTTCAGGATTCAGTGCAGGGGTGTCATCTGGCTCAACGTGGCTAACTTCTGGGATTGTATCCAGTTTTGAGGCGCAATTTTCCAACTGCATAGCCGTGACTAGATCCTCAGAACAAGCTGACTCTTTGGACACTGAGATTTCAAGGATGTTTTCTGTTGATTCACTGATGGAGGTCGTTGTTTGTTCATCCATGTTTGGACCCTGACTGTTAGCCTGTACTGGGTTTCCATCTGAATATTGTTGCTTGTCTAGTTTTGCAGACGACATAGCGTTGTTAACTGTCAAGGAGCAATGGTGACCATCGACAATAATATCAGTTGATGTGACTGGTCCATTCTTGACTTCAGATGCAATCTCACTGCCTTCAGCTTGTACACTTTCTTCTCCATGATGCCTGTCCATCACTGTTATTTCAACATTGTGCTGTTTCAATGATATCTGGGAGGATATTTCACAATCATTAGCAACATCCGATGCCCTAGTGGTGCCATGATGATCCAGCTCTCCTTCTTGAATGTCTCTTGAGTCATAATCAAGTCCTGTATTTCCATTCAGATGTTCTTGGTTGTTTAATCCATCCAGTTTTTCTGCAGAATCTGCACTCAAGCTTTCATTTGCTCTTTCGTCAGATACTTCTTCTACCACAAAAGTCACAACTGGTTCCACTGTTTTGTTAGCTTGTGACATCACTTCGCCACTCTCCATCATATTAAAGGAACAGTGTTGGAGACCATCAGGTAAGGTTACATTTATATCCGAATGGCCAGAGGTGGAAATGGTCTCTTCCTCTACATCTACATCTGGGAGGTCAGTGTGAGGATCCAGTTCTGTGGATGACCGGTTTAGAGCAGATATCTCAGGAGGTCTGCAGTCACCCTGTGTATGGCTCTCCTTTGTTTCCTGTTGATTTGGAAGTTTGCCAGGCTTCTCACCAGCAGATTCAGACAGTGGAAGCCCATTGTTAGAAGAGATAGAGATGCATTGTTGCTCTTCACGAAGAAAATGTGGATTTTTAAAGACACTATCATTATTGCAAATGTCAGAATTCTGGACACTCTCTGCACCATCTTTACCTTCACCATTAGTAGTTTTCTCGCCGTGACTACTGCTACAAACTGAAAAAGAATGGTCTGCTGTGGACATCCCACTGTTACAGTTAAATTGAAATTCCGTAGAATTTCCAACAACTGTGGTTTTGAGATGCTCTGATTCAGAGGCCCTTTTAGGAATGTCATCTTCCACAAACTCATGAAAGTGATTAACTGATTCGTCCTGCGAATCCAGAGGAACTTTTTCGTGACTTTCCATCGACTGTTCTGGTTCTTTATCATCATTTGTGAGCTCAAGAGTCTGGGCCGCATCCTCTGGGGGCAGTCGGTGGCAGCCCTCTGGCATGGAAGCACACCTCATACGTCGACCTTGTTTGGAAGCCCCTGCTGCCATCCAGGGACCCTCGCTGTCCACCCCATGACAGCAGACCAGATCCAAATCATCATAACTGTACTGTAATCCTGAAGGATGCGTCACATGCTCCTCCCAACTTCTTTTCCGTATGGCTACTGGCATGGTGGACAGCCAGTTTTATGCCATAGAGCGCGTTTTGTTGCCAGGGAGAAAAATGGAGAACCGGATCTGCTGCAAGCGAGAGGAAAAATGGGATGAGAAACCAGTGTTTCCAAATTATGAGTTAACAGAAAATAAATGAGCAGATGACAGCATGATACATAATGTTTTACTTTTAAAGTAAACAGTTGAGGAGTATTTCAAGAGGGGCGTATTTATGTTGCGTTCACAGTTTAAACTCTGCTGGATCTGTATGAGATGACAGCATCCAAGATTTGCTAATCTTAGTCATCTTAATCGTAGAGAGATGATATCTTAATAGCAGAGCTGTGCCAGATGTTACTTTACAGTCTGATAACTACATTGAATGTCCTTCTTCTGATACAGTTGTCTTTGCCTACAGTGTAATGAAGCTCTGAGGAGTAGAGTAAACAAAGCTTCTAAAACATCAAGATAATCAAGATAAATGAAGGTGTCCCTTGTTTACATTGTAACATATCTGTGAAGTGAACTGCAACAAATTTACACCGCAAACGTTCCCTAAACACTAACTTTACAGATGCAAATTTAAAACTGGTCTTGGAGAATCAGGGTGTTGGTTCACTTTCTTTCTATATCTCACCATGCACTCAAAAAACTTAAACTTCCAATGACAGCCAGGGTCCCTGAACAGCTGGGTCTGCACAGGCCAACAGCATCACATTAATCAAAACCAAGCTCTATACTGCGTTTTTTTTTCTCCCTGTTGTTCTAGGTCAGAATGTACAGAAGCAAAAGAACACATAGATTCAAACAGCAGTAGGTACTTGATTCATGCTGTAGATCTGCCATAATATAATACAGAAGTTTAACTATATAAGCAAGCACAGGGTTAAAAGGACATCCTGGATAAGCCGTGATGTGTATGGAAAATTAGGCTTTAACATGATGACAAAATCGCTCTCATTGTTCACGTTACATGGATCACAAAAAAAGTTTCTGGACACTATGTCACCGAGCTGCTTGTGACCTAACACTTTTTAAAACATGTTATCAAGATTTGAGATGGGTGTCTGTCTTTTCACTTCATCACCTCTTATTTCCTCAAGAGAAGATCCGGTGGGTCCCAACTGTCATCTGCACCCTCTGGCATGAGCCTAAATCCAGTTTTTTTCAAGAAATCCAAAGGAGATTTGTAAATATTGTACCAAAGTAGCTGCTCCTTCTACTCGTCCTTAAACCAACAGCGCAACTGACACCTCAATGCATTTCAGATATTTTATGCAGGAGTTTGATCAATGTTTACTTCTTTTAAATTCTTCAGTGGTTTAAATAATAATCCAGTCGCTGTATAGTTAGAAAAAAGTCAACCGGCAAGAATCCAAAAAATAGGTTGTAGATCCAGTATTTTCTTTAAGATCAGTTCTCCAGAAACGTCACAAGTTGCCTTTTCATTCATCCACTGAAAGGAATGCGTCCATGAAATATGAATCCATCTTTTTCCATGCGAGTTGATATAGGTTTTTATTTTGTAAGAAGTCCATAGTCTTGGTTTCTTCAAGCCATTTTCTGGACTCCAGTCAATATCCTGGCTGTGAAACTGTCCGAAAGGCAGTGAAGCCTCGGAAGGCAAGCAGAAAGCCGGGGAACAGTGAGACGTCCAAAGACAACTTCCATCTTGATCACATTAGGGTTTTTGCTGACGCTGAAAGCAGAAGGGTCGGGGTGGTGTAAGAGGGGCTGGGTTTTCTTTCCCCCACTCCACCCCTGCTCTCCTCCGTTCTATCCTTTTTCTCATCAGGTCCCCTCCCCACTGGTTTTGACAGGGAGTCTGAGTCACATCCTTGGAGCCCCATCCCCCGTCTCACAACTCACCCAGCACACTATACGCATTTATTCCCTCCTCCCTCCTCTAATGTACTTTCTCCCCTCGCTGTTTCAAAAACTTCCTCTCCGCGTCTTCTTTCAAATCTGGTCTCATTCCTCTTCTAAGTGGACGTTTTCCCTAGTTCTGCCTAAGTGTGCTGTTTCACTTAGGGTGGACAAGGCTACCACCAGTTGGTTTTGATTAGTAACAGACAAGCTGCCTCGCAAGACCTCCTGGCTGTGATCCAAGAGAGATTGCTCTAATATTTTGGCAGTTATTCCTGGAGCATGCTTTTCTTCTAAAAATGTGTCATCTTGTAACTGGTCAAGCATTCTTATCCAAACACACTGGTAATGACGAAAAAACAGCAAAGCTTGATATCTCTACAGATAAGCACGAGGAACACATTTTTTTTAAATATCTGTCAATTGTAAATCAACAACAAAAGTTTTATGACAAAAGGTAACATGTTGGAAGTGCTTCTGACTTCATATCTATATAGTATATATAGTCTATATAGTAGACAGAAAGGAGAAAAAACGTTAAAAGGAACAAAATGCCAGTAATTCATTTCCTAATATAGTAATTTATCAGAAGCACTCAGCAGCCAGACAAAGCAAAAGCAGCAGTATTTACATATAATGTGACTGAAATGATTTACATTTAAATTAGCAAAAAATAATCACTGTATAAAATCATACAAGTGCTACAGCAAGCTATTTCACCTAAACTAACTCAGTAGTACAAAGACTAGTGTGTCAAAGCAGCAGGGACAAAATGGAATGAAGCCCCTTCCAACGATCCCTGTAACCCCAGCCTCTGACCTTTGGGTCATCCAGATGTTAGGTGAGTCCCTGGATGAGTCTTTTCTTAGGGGCCTCGCTGGGAAACTGTACACTGCCATCAATGTTGGCTCTCCAGGGACACAGATGGTTGTACTCAAGGGAAAAGATCCAAGTTCAACAAGACTCCTCTGTAGCATGTCACATGATGCGCTCTGTGGTTACGCTGAGTGCAGTGTAACGAAAGGCAGATCTTTTCGGTCACAGTAGCTTCCATGTGAATATGGCTTGTGATTGAAGAAGAGAGGCTGACACAGAGCATGACTCGGTCTATCCACTCATTACTTCATGTGGACATCCAACACGGGTCTTTAATTTGAAAAGCCTTCCCCTTCTGTCCTAACATCCTGCACGGCCACAGGATAACTGGTCTACGTCACAACTGATCCTTTAGTGACACTGTGCAAACACATGTTCAATCAACAACATGTGTAACAAGAATGTCCGTGCATGTGAGCTGCAAGAGAACCGGGCATTTAAATGGAGCGTTAAAGCAAAATGTAATCCTGAACAAAACGTCTTCGGCCAGGCTCGCTGCTCTGTTGCGCTCACAAACGCTTTGATGTCAACTGCAAGCATGCTAACACGCTTGTGTTTATCAGATAACAATATTTACCATGAACACCATAAGTTAAGTGTGTTTACACAAAAGTCTGGTCAAAATTTAATTGCAATCATTATTGTTCTATTTCAGTACAGATCACAGTGGTTGACCAAGGGGCAACCTTAAGGGCTGACAACAAAAGCCAACAAATAAGTGCCAGAATCTGCAGTTCCTCAGGAGCCACTTGACGTTGGCTCTAAAAAGTCGTTTTCAAAAGTGCACTCCAGGCTGCCCCTGAAATCTTCCTCAGTTGGTTGTTCACACACATAATGCTGCCTTGTCACATATGCTCACCCTGACTTCAGAGAGAAATTTAATAGGTTGCTGGCATTCGTTTGTTTCGGGTAAAGTCGGTGTGAATAATTCGTTGCTTGAGCTTACACATGAATCTCAAACAGAAGTTTTTTGCCAGTGAAAGTACCAAAAGTGATATTACCCACAGGCCCCATGTTAAAATGACCTACTTAATAGCAGCAAAACACAGCTTATTTTCTGGTCCAAACAAAACAACTAATAATAGCTAATACTTGCCAATACTAATACTTTCAATATTCATGGCAACTTTAAGCAGGATACATTTGTATATAACTTGCATAATTGATATTTTATCACTAATTGAGAAGTGTGAGATGCTTACCATTCCTTGCTTGTTAGATAATTTAATATTTGTCATACTAACATTATGTAGTGGCTGGTGCAAAGGTGTCAGGATTATTGTTGACCTTTCCCTCCTGAAAAGACAGAGGTAGGACGCCCTCCCACAAGAAAAAAGGGTGGGCAAGCATCAAGTCTGCAATGTCTGACATGCCCTCATAGTTTCTTTTATCTGATGAAGAAATAATTACACTCAGCAAATGCCACAAATAGAATTTCTTTCTTATGGAAACATGAGGTTTAGGTAGCTCACGTCACAAGCTAATAAATTAGCATGGTGTTGACATTTTATTTATGAAAACTTGACATTGACAAATCTCCATCAGAGATTCTACTTAAAAATATAGAATGCGAGGACAGAGACCTTGAATTCAGCATCCATGATTATATTAACTGCTTGATATACCGTAATACCCGAAGAGTTCACCGTCAGTCCAAGAGGTTATATCATCGTCGGAAGGTAACTGATGGGTTCCATACCCTACGCTCCTCTCAGGCATCACACTCTAGCCGAATAGGGAAAGAAAACCATCATGGCAGCAGCTGGTACACTTAAATGGAGGCTTCAAAAAGGCAGGGGACAACACGTTGGCTGTTGCCAGTGGTTGCGTCCATTGTTTATACAGTCTATGTGTCAGATAGACAGAGACACCAACATTACCGTGTCTAGAAAAATGCCACTAGCATAGCTAAGGATGAGTCACTTTTCAGTTTTTGTACAAATCTTCACATCTTTTGACAGCGTCTTCAAGAAACCATATGAACAGAAAAATTCCAGGATTTTTGTGGTAATTGGAGTGTGTTTGAGTGTGTGTGTGTTTATCATCTATTTTGGAAACTGTGTCAATGATCATGTATTATGTATGTGGGTTCATTTAAAAGTTTGTATTTGTTTGCCCTTTAAGAGTCATCATTTCAGGCCAGACTGCGGCCAAGTTCCGCCACACAGCAGACGAGCATGAATGTTGTCGCAGGCATGCAAGCACCATTGGTCATATGTCTACAGCCGTCACATACAGGTTAAGAAAGAGCCATTCACGATTCACCCTATAATCCCCCACTGTTCAATCCCTCGCCTTCTTTAGTGGAGCAGCGAGGGCCCAGAGGAAACAGCCTCACATTCCTCGCTGATATAGTTTATTATTGGAAAAATAAGCCCGTCTAAATCATGGGCATTGAAGAACACAGGGTGTTTGCCCATGTAGGAAAATGTAGGTGACGCTCGTAGAGAAAAAAAAACACTGAGTCACTCCGAGTTCTTACGTATACAAAGACTGCTTTGAGAGGATTAAGTTGCACCCCTTTTTAAGGCTTCCTTAAATAACCGCTTTCTACTGTACATGCCCAGTAGTTATGTGAAGTTGTAAAAACAGACTCTGGGTTCATTTACACTGAAAAGAAAACTAAACAAAATGCCAGAATCTCATCTGGAGATCTAAAAATAATACCAACAAACCACAGCAAGATCCTTGCAATGCTTTCCTGTCACTTGCTTTGCTCCGTGGTTAACGACTTCTTTTGAAAAGACCAGAGTCGTGTTGGTTGAAATAGCAACGTTTGAGGCCTGGTTGGGAACTTAAGCAATCGCAATATTCTTTAATGAAACATCCTGATGTAGCTGATGCAACTTACAAAGCCGACTGAGGGCTACATTGCTGTCTTTATTAAAAAAACAGTCTTAAATCATCCCTGGATTTCAACTCCCTTTGCTCCCGTGGGTCTACATGCAAGAAGTCGTCGTGGGAGAATCTGAGGGGGCCTTGGCCACTGAACATGGGTTATAGTGTAGTGTGACTGTTACCGTGGGAACAGGAAGTACAAGTTATTGAGGATACAGACCATAACAATCTCCAGGCTAAAATAATCTCTCTAATCTTCTTTTGAGAGGATCTGTGTGTGTTTGTGTGTGTGTGTGTGTGAGAGAGAGCGAGAGAGAGAGTGCATGAGACAAGCGGAGGACCTTATATATGTGTATTAATGTTGCTCAGTATATAAGTTCAGTGCTGTAACATGTTTGTTTGTCAAATCAATTTTTACAGACTTGTGTCTTCTGACTTATAATTTATCTATGAAAACTGTGGAAAATACTGCATTAAAAACAGAGAAAGTCCTAATTCTGCTCCCTTTGAACTTTTTATTCCTTGTTTATTCATACTTTTTTCAAATGTCGTGTTGACCATCAGTTTCACATTAAAAGATGTTGCCATTTAAGAAGTGACTGCTCTTATTTAAAAAAAACATCCTGCATAAAAGTCACTCTGTTTGTAATGAATCACATTCCCTCTCAAGAGGCATGATGATCCATTCCATTAATTACTTGCCTGGGATGAATATCCTACTTTGTTTTCCTGCATGTAAACATGATATGCCAAATTAAAATGATTCTGATGATGACTTCATCTGCTTTGGTGAATAAACTTGCACTGGTTTCGCTCTTCTTTTATGTCACAATCACCCAGTCCACACCCATTCATACACCGATCGCAGAGGATGCTCTGAAAAGTATCCATCAGTCTCTACTAATCCCTACACACACATTCACACACTGAAGTATATGCTACTGGAAACAAACAAGTGTTCAGTGCCAACGACACTTTGACTCTAGAACTAAGATCGAACCGCAGACCTTTGGACT